GCGAATCTCGTATGACATAATCGTAGGCGAGATTTTAGTTCTTGCCTCAATGTAAACATGATACGACAATCTTGTGGCGATTATTGTTTACAATAATCGCGTACGATTTTTCGTCACGAAGCGTGCGATAAACTCTCTCCATTTAAATGGGCCTTAAATATCGTAGCGATGAAAAAGGTCAAAATTCAGTCTTACACCTAGATGGCGCTGATCAATAACCTGGACGTAGTTTATATTGTGTAAATGGCCGTGGATATAAATTCATTCCTCCTTAATAACAACATACATAGGTGCTAATTTTAAATTTAATGTTAAAGTTTTACTTCCGAGTCGCGATTGCGTCAATGGGTAAGGTACTCTGAACTTATTTGAATAAATAGGAATCTCCGCCTGCGACTGCTCGTTTATTGGAAAACGCGTTAAGTTTAATTTTGCAAAGCAGTTTATTTACTTAGTTAAACATTTAAAAGCATGACGCACTTTTATCGTGTTGCAGCATTGACAGTGGCGAAGGCGTGGCGCGGCGCCGCTGGCAGTGAGCTGCCCGAGTTGCGCAAAGGACTTGTCGCGGTTTTCAACGACCGATTTGCTGAACAGCTGCTCGATACTGCTAAGGTAGGTTTCCTTAGCTGCACTGAACGAGATGATTCATAATGGCTTTGTCAAGTTGTGTTCTCTTTTAGAATGTAGTATTTTCAAGCTCCAAAGCATGAAGCAATTAAAACAAATAATTTTGTTGGAATTGTTCCCAATTGATTTGTGTTAGCATTCCTGGGGTTTGAAATTTATAACAAGACAACTGGACCTTGTGCCATTAATTTCTATCAAAACAGTAAACCGAAAAAAACTGATTTACTAGAAAAGGTAAATGCATATAAATGTATGTGAAATCTAAGAAAAATAGTTTATCTATTTTATTACTTGATAAAAAAGTAAAACAATTATACCTTTTTTTTATAAAAAAATAACCAACTTCAAAAGTTTGTTCAATTGCTTCTATTTGCTAAGTTTTATTGCAAACGGTTAGCGGAAAGTGGTTGAAAGCCAATAAACCTGATTTATATATATGATGATATACTTAGAGGTGGAATATTTTCTTTGATTTTAAATGGGACGAATACTGAGGTACCCTCTTTTCAACAAAAAAAAAAGAATCATCAAAATTGGTTCACAAATGCCGGAGTAATAGCATAATATACACACAAAAAAAAGAACTTCCCCCTTTTTTGGAGTCGGTTAAAAATAAAACAAAGGCCGTTGTGATTTCTACGTATTGTCACCAAACTACAGACTCTCACTAAAGGGTATTTCCAAGTTATGTTAGTCTTTATCATTGTTTCAGAACCAAGCACCCGTCCAGCGCGGTTTTCTCGATGTCCTCCTCAAAGATATAAAAAGCATGATCCAGTTCTCGCCGCTTTAGACCAGTTATGTTAAATATAGTTGTATTATCAAGTTTTCTAATTAACATACCCATCAGTGCATTGAATAAATAAATTAATTTTTGTAATTATACTTTGACTTTATTTTTGTGTTCACCACGTTCACTCGTATGGTCTTCTAGAATTACAGCTTATTTCAAAATCCCCTAATTCATCAGGAAGATGGTTCAATACAAAATAAGTGAAACGAATCCATTACAGGCTCAATGTTGTCACGTGATTCATTCGACCAATGGAAATGGCTGAAAGTTAGACATGAGCGCCGATAATAGATCAACCGGCGGCGGCGCGCGGACAAAAAAGTATCGGCGGCGGCGGCGTTTCGGCGGCGCGAGCGCGGCCCTAAAACGAATTTGTATATCGGTATTTGTTTTTACAAAAACCAGTTATACAAATACTTTTTCAAAGGAAAAAATAAAATAACGTATTTTCTATAGTAATCAATTTTTTATCAGTTCGATCAGGCGCTCCGATCGTACGCACGCGCACGCTTCCATATTGTGTAAGTGAAAATGGCGACGCCAGAAATTGACAAATTAACTTTTTGAACAAAACATCTTTAAACATAAAGTCACTAACAAATTTTGTCGCCTATCTATGTCACCTCTGCTGAGGCCGGACGGCATGCTGGCCTATACTGCAGATGACAAGGCAAATCTTTTTGCCTCACTCTTTGCAAAGAGTTCGCATCTGGATCTAATCTTACCTCAGGCTGGCTGCACTATACACCAAAAAGAGGTACTTAGAACTCTGCGGAATCTAGACGTGAATAAAGCTAGCGGGCCAGATGGATTTCCAGCAATAGTCCTACGTAACTGTGCGCCTGAGTTGTCTCCTGTTCTCACACGCCTACGCCCGTACAGCGTCTCACTTGAGACTGGTGTAGTTCCCAAGTCGTGGAAGCTTGCAAACGTGCAACCTGCGCCGAAAAAGGGAAGCAGAGCTGACTCTGTCAACTATAGACCTATCTCAGTCGCTTCCATATTCTGCAAGACTATGGAACGTGTATTCAACAACCGTATTACAGTTCAGTGTAGGTTTGTAACGACAAAAAAACCGGATGGTTATATATACACTTCATGTAGCGCTGTCTCACAACAATTCATTTTAGGTCCTAAACTAAATCGAAATTAGAGTTTATGGTAAGGTCACTGGTAATTGGTGTAGTTCTCTGGCACATTATTTATTTATTACTACAGTCATGTATTTTAGAGTCTTGCCTCGCCCGATGTCAAAAGTATTTAATGTAACAAGTTTATATAAATAACGCACACACTCAACATAGCCCAGAACTAGGGAAACCCTGTGTCGCGGACACACACATAGACAACCACGAATTACACCCAAACTCTAGAGATAAATAATGTAATTGGTTGTGCAATGGACGTCTTTCGGCTGGAAGGATATATACATCGAGTATATAACCAGAAATAGAGACGAAATAAGGGTCGTATATTTCTAGTAACACATTAGCGATACAGCTCTTATAAATGTCAACTCCCGTTTGCACTGAAATATTGACAGGCCAACTACTGACCTGTGTGTACGTCTCCGTATATTCCAAAAAATATTCTGTAATTATTGTAATAAGATAATAACTGTAACAATGCCGTGCTGTTCTATTCGGTGGTGTGGGAAAATGTTTACAAAACAAACGGAATCACATTTCATCGGTAATTAAATATTAAATATGTAATTTTGCAATTTTCGTCCATTATAGCAAAGCTCAAGTTAACTGGTCGATTTGAAGTAAAACAGTTGACGACACTCGTCAATTGTTTCGAATTGGGGCTGGCCAATCGGAGCGCAGTTGTCACAGTAATGATTTGGCAGAATAGTTTCCAAACAAATGAAATGACATTTCGTCTCTATTTCTGGTTATATACTCGATGGATACATATAATGATTTCTTCAAAATGAAATATTTATAAGTTTATAGTTGAATGGTAAAAGACAATAGTGATATTAGCGAGAGCTATAACAGGAACTGCATTATGTAAGTGAATTCTATTGGAAATGAATTGAATTGTAAATTCTTCTGTAAACACACAAATAGTACCACTACATATGCATTCCTCCCTAGTTAATATCACATGAAGATACATACATGAAGGTCATGATTTATTTCTTCAAAGCAATGTCCAGTTTCAAGTTTCTCTTTCATAACAATAAATGACAATTTGCTAAATAACACTAACCCATTGTTTGTCAGTTGTACACAGCAACGCGGCGTCAATAAAGGTAACAATATTTTTTAAGCGACTTCAAAAAAATGAGGAGGTTGTCGAACCGATTTATTGGAAAGAGATTACCTTAGTATTGGTTCCATTTAAATTTGAAGAAAATATTCCACCTCTAAGGGTGGCAAACTAGGGGATCCGGTAACCGATTTTAATTAAACTTGACACATGAAATTCCACTAATTTGAGGTCGGTTTTTTTATCACTCCGTACTGACATTATTGGAAAGTTTTAACAAATCTAGGAGCTTGGCCCACATGCTTTACTCTTTTTTTCTGAAGAGCGGTTGAACGAGTTATTGCCAAGATTGATCCATGGTTTCGTCTTCGCTGTCTGGATCTACTTCAATGTACAACAGCCCTTCGGGTGGCAGTTCTTGTAATACTGAAACCAGAACAAAAATAATTAACGCTGTCTATGCGCAGGTGTACACAAGTGAAACTCCCGAATTTTGTTTAGGTTTGTATTGGCAATTTATACAGCGTTTTCTACACTTACTCTAGCGTCACCATGGTCGAAATTTTAAAAATGAGATTACCCAAGTAAACAGTAATTTACTTGATGCTAGTAGCAAAAAAACTAGATTTAATCGGTTCGCCGTTTTTTTTTTATAATATCAAGTGACGGGACGAACAAGTCGTGCGCCTGATGACTACACGCCTGTCCTTAACAGTTGCGGTGCAACTCAGAGCTTCAAATCGCAAAGATTTGGCACTGCCACTGCGCCCGTCACCGTGACACATAAGTTGACAAGTCCCATGTGTCTAATTTCACCAGCACCCTTACCCTTCAAAACCGGAACCCAGTAATGCTGACATAATTGCTTGGCGGCAGAAATAGGTAAGGCGGCAGTACTACCTTGGACGAACCTAAAACTGTAACGCAGTCGAAACTGACTTCATGTAGCCGAGAGTGACTACATGCAGTTAACGCGTGAAGTCGTAATCAACTTAATGCAGACTAAGAGTGTTTTACTGTATTCCAACGGCATCATCCAGTCATGAGTATCGTATGTTATCTAAGTCGTAATCTCACCTAAACAATCCTTGTTAAGATCGTTAACGTTCCCCGGCTGCACTAACAGCGACTGTCCCTGCGGTAGTTCTGTGTTCACTTGCAGAATCTTCTTGTCACTTCCGATTATTTCCTGATGTAAAAAATAGTAATTACGTAAAAATTATCCAACTAACAAAAATGTTAAGATACCTCTGTACATAGCGAGAACGATGTCCAGCAGTGGAACGGAAATGGGTTAATAATGACAAAGACAAAATTTTATTATTTGAGAAAGGTAGCGGCTAAGTACATTTACTTAAGGTAATACACACAGAGTAGATAATACTATCCCCAGAAATTCCCCGTAAAAATGATTCAAAGTGGAAGTCAAAAAACAAAATAGTTATATTTTAAAATTTTTATTTAATTGATATTCAATTATTTTTTATGTGAAATTACTCCACTAGTTTGTTATAATTATTAATACAAAGATCGAACACTCAAAAAAAAATTCCAGAATATCTCTAGCCAGGGCTGGTAGCTGTAAAGGTATTTAACTGGGTGATGAAATACTTAAGATTTCTCATAGATGGCGCTACGGCTAAAAAGTCGTTGAAAAATCAAATACACGACAAAGACACGACAACAAGTACATAGAAAAATTCGTGAGATCCGCTGGTTCGTTCCGTGGCTTAGTTGGTATAGCGTCTGGCACGGTAAGCTAGAAGACGTCGGTTCGAATCCGGCCGGATCGAAGGATTTTTTTAAAGTATTGGATCTTTGTATTAATAATTATAGTCATATTTTTACTTTAGTAATTCTAAAACTTCTATATTTTTTTAATATTTTTTTTAATATTCACACACAGACAACATCACATTCGTTGCTCTGATTCCAAAGTAAGTAGATTTGATTCCGACTGTTATGGATAGGCGCACGATTTCTTCGTTTTGGTCACTTGGTAATATAAAAAAAAGTAACTAAAGTACTTGTGTTATGGAAATCGGAAACAACGTAGACGGTACCACAGACACCTAGACCCGAAACAATAAAGAAAAGTTAATGTTTTTACATTGACCCGACCCGGGATCGAACCCGGGACCTCAGCGCAGTGTGTACAAGCCACTCTACCACTGAGGTCATCTATAATACACTATTGTAAAGCAATCGCTGGTTACATTCCAAAAATATAGAACTAAATACAATAATTTCGGCATTTTGGAGGGAGGTATTTTTCACTCTATTCTGATCATTGTTCATAACATAGCTGTGTACCACTGCAAAATGTTGTCTTGCTCTGTATTTGCGGTGATAAAAAAAAATCACTAAGGCTGTTATTTATGAAATCTTGGCACATAGTTTGCATCAGGTTTGTTGCGAAAATCAGCATAAGCTGATAATCTGCATGAATTAAAATAGTCGCATCTGTATCAGCATTTCATCGATGCTGATATTCAATGAAGATGTTAGAGTCCTGGCATGATCTAAGACGCAGGTTGGAATAATTTACAAACCTTCCAGAAACAGACTTTAAGCCGAAAAAGTAGCTCAACTGGTGTTTTTTAAATATAGCTTTGATACAATTTTAAAACAGTTAAGTTAGGCAGATTGCTTGTTTTCATGCAGATTATAACAAATGTCACAAAATCATTGAAATAACATTTTATTACAATACCAAAAAAATAGAAAGCGTTTTCATGCAAAATGGATTCAGTGAAAATATATTTTTCGAAGTCCTTGAAGACAAATGTTTTCGAGCAGTGTGTGTTGCCAGCGATGACCTACTCCTAAGGCTCTGAAACGTAGTCACTTACTGTGGGCCTCATAAAAAAGCTCAAAGTCACTCAACGAGCTACGGAGCGAGCAACGCTCGGCATTTCTCTACGCGATCGAATCAAGAATGAGGAGATCCGTAGAAGAACGAAAGTCACCGACATAGCTCAAAGAATTAGCAAGTTGAAGTGGCAGTGGGCAGGGCACATAGCTCGTAGAACTGACGGCCGTTGGAGCAGAAAGGTTCTTGAATGGAGACCACGAACCGGAAGGCGTTCAGTGGAACCGTACTAGATGGACGGATGACCTCGTAAGGGCGGCGGGTAGCCGATGGATGCACGTCGCGTCCGATCGGCTGGTCTGGAAATCTTTGGGGGAGGCCTATCTTTAGCAGTGGACTTCTTCCGGCTGATGTGACGACGATGATGAATATTTTATTACAATATCAAAAAATTGAAAGCGTTTTCTTGTAAGCGTTTTTTAAAATACGTAAAATCAGCATCTGCTGAAGTTAATGTCAAGAAATCAGCACCGCTGATGTGTAACAACCTGTATCAGCGACAACCCTGGTTTGTATAAATAAAGATAATGAGGTAAATAATATCAAATCACCTGCATAGATGACATATGAAACTGTTCAGCCTCGGTTTTGTTCTCTTTAGGCAACTCTTCAGTCTTTGTATCATTTGGAGAGGGTAACCCTTTAGTCTTGTCTTCCGTGCTGGCTTGAATGCGTATTGCCAGCTCACACAGCTGCATGTGCTTGTTTAGCTTTGATTCGCTTTGGTATCTGAAATTAAATTTTTGATTATTAAATTGTTATAAGTAACTTTAAGAATGAGGTCAGAAGCGTAATCTTGTGAGATGTGAGTCGCGTAATGTACGCTGCATTCGGTTCCATATAAAAGTCCGGTTTGTGCCACACGACGGCGCCAAATGAGTTATCTGCTGCCTCACGCGTGTAATTACAACATTGTCATATCGTAATGCCATTACTAATGTCGAAGAAGGCCTTTGGAAAGTGGCCATGATTACATATCTTGACAGTTTTAAATTTAAGTTAAATCTTCTGTCTTTTTGCACCTGTATTCATTGAGCTTCCAACAAAAGCCAATGCCTCTATTGAACATAAATTTAGTTTGTGTGACAGTCAGAGATAGGCAAGTGCCCGGGTTTTAACC